TGATCTCTTGCACATATTATTGTAGATGTGAGTAGCCTTTCTGGATTTTATTTCCAATTCCCTTTGACCCTAATGTCGAGGCTTATGACTTCCATCTATTTCATGATTCCTTGAGCTACTTATAGACCTCTCTCTTCAGGACATACTGGAGTGAGCCACACTACATGCCCAATCTCATTTTCTCATGCAATTTCTTAACTCACAGAGCTGCACATATTATTGTAGATGTGAGTAGCCTTTCTGGATTTTATTTCCAATTCCCTTTGACCCTAATGTCGAGGCTTATGACTTCCATCTATTTCATGATTCCTTGAGCTACTTATAGACCTCTCTCTTCAGGACATACTGGAGTGAGCCACACTACATGCCCAATCTCATTTTCTCATGCAATTTCTTAACTCACAGAGCTTGAACCACAGATAACTATTTCTGATGCAGCATCATGACCACTCAAGTCTCCTCATTTCCCAGGGTCATCTCATTACCCTCAGTGCCCTCTGGTACACAATTACCTCTTATTTGTAGTCAGACCTAATTTCTTTGATCTGCACAATCATCTGTCAAAGTATTCATCACTACCCGTAATCCTTGCACTGTTTGGAACTTCCAGTTCCTGGATGCTAATTTCCCACCATCACTGCAACTAATATGTACTTTCTTGACTTTGACTCTGGTCCATGAGACACTGCTGAGAATTCCAGAGAAATGATGACAGGTTTTGCTGCAAAGCAATGCTATCTTATGCTAGCTGTGCCTTCCTTCCTGTGTACTGCTTCAAATCATCTTTATGAAACTGGTTTGGTGATATATTTCCCATCAATATTAAATGCTACATTGAAAACCCAATTATCATACAAGTTCCATCTAAGTACACTGTTAGCCAATGGAAATAGAAGTAAAATCTAATTATTTATACTCACTTAGAAATGGGATTGACACTGGCTTCAATAATTGTTAAACACTTACAGCACTTTATGTTTTCTGGAAATTCTTGTACACCTAAAAGGTTGAAAAAAGAAACAATAACATAAGTCCGTGAAAATATTCCAAAAAACTTGTCTAAAGTGTGGTCCTAACAGTAAGAACAAGCCGTTAAAACCACAAGTTTACTTATAAACTTCATCTAGGATAAACATTCAAGCAGAGATGATATTAAAATCACATAGAAATACAGATAAGTATGCAATTATTTTTCTAATGAAAGTTCAATGTTAAAAACATTTTAGGATAGTACTAGCTGAAAGTCAGCTATAAAGCCAAGGACAATTATATTCGATTCTTTACCAACTTAAAGAAATAGAGACAAAAGCAGCTTAAGGCATTTGGTTATTGTAATGGTACTAGTGGGGACAGGGAGTCAGCAGATAGAGAGAAAATGGAAGGTCAAATCATTGCTTCCTGTTACCACGTGATAAAATTGGGCAGAATGGACACACCACAGAGCTGATAAACATTCTAATTCCTCTAGGCTCTAGGGCTCTGAAAGGTTTTTGTTTGTTTATTTTTATTTTTTATCCTATTCCTCTTGATGCACCTGCCTTAAAGCGCAAGAGCTGAACCCTTCCCGAGTCATTCTGGCATTTCTGAGGTGGCAACCCTGTCTTTGCTGAACTGCTACTCTCTGTCACATCTGTCTATTGGCCAAGTGACAGAAAAACACTGGCTTTTCCAGGAAACTGAAAACCATTAAGCCTCAAGCCTATTTCATACATGTGAGGATCAGAGAAGTAGAAGACACAGAAATATCCATCTGTGAATCAGATGGTGCAGGAAGGCGATTGGTTTCCATGTGCCTGAGCACTGCTGTCTTCAATTTGGAACCATGCTTCTGAGAAGTTTCCAGAGTTTGTCTTGTACAGAGCTTTTTATCTGACAGAAGGGAGGAACATTTTGTGGCAGTATAATAGCTGAATGTTTGATGATGAATTTTGGGAAATGAAACTTTGCCTTCCTAGATTCCTTTAACACAGAGCCCTGAAGTCCAGAACCTTGAACCCCGAGAAGCAGCAGGAGTTTAGCTGTTCTTCCATTGTAAAGATGCTATGGAGGAAGGAGACGCTTCTTAACCATCTCTCCTCTCCTTACATGAAATCTCATCAGACATGTTCTAAAATAAATGCTGGCATATATGGCTTAGTAGGAACCCGGAGGAAGCTTGGGAACATCACTATTTGTGAATTTAAAAAGAAAATACGATTCTGTTCCTTTGGAAGGACATTAACTTATGAAGGGGCTGTTCAAGGTAGAAAGCAAGTCAGGAAGGAGATGTTAGAGTGTCTCGTCTCTCCCTCTTGGCATTTGTATTTATGTTGTGCACCTGTCAAAGACGGGGTTCAGACACCTTCTCTCTTTCAACCATTTTTACCAACCAGCAGAAGGGCCTCGTTCCTGTGGCTGTGCTCCACGCCGTGTTTACTAGCTGATATTCACTTAAACGGCATGTAAACCAAGTATGGATGGAGGCCAAAGGAAACTGAACTTGACGTTAAGGAAAGACAGAGAACGAGGCCCTGCTGTATTAGAACTGGTGTCCGATTCTCTGTCACAGAGCTGGGCTGTGTTGTGCACAGTTCAAAGGTGAGGTCACTGAGCAGAGTCGGGGTAACCCCGGGCAGGCCCTTTAAATGCTCAATGTCTTGGTTTTGTCTGAAACGATGATGTGAATGGCTTCATCTTGATTGTAGGGAGGATTGAGAGAAGAAGTTTAATATACAGCGAAACAGTAATTCAAGTGAGAACAGAACCAAATACGAAAGAAACGTTCTGAATTCTGTAAGTTTAGACTAAGTTCAGATAAGTGAATGTCCACCAGGGAGAAAGTCTCTGGGTACCAGTCCTGGATATCTGAGGAGTTCATCAGGCTGTGCTCAAGGCTGGAGCCCTGACTGGTTGTGGTGGTTTGAATGAGAATGTCCCTTATAGACTCTAAGAATTTGGATATTTTGTGCTCAGTGGTGGCACTGTTTTGGGAAGTCTTAGAAGATGTAACCTTGCTGGAGGAAGCACGTCACTGGGGGCAGGTTTGAGAGTTCTTAAGCCTTGCTGATCTCCAGTGGACCTCTGTCTCCTGTGCCTGCTTGAAGACGTGAGTGCCATTCCTGTTCAGACACCTCCCAGGCCTCCCTACCATAACAGACTCTAATCCCTCTGGAACCTGGAAAGGTATGCTCAAACCAAGTCTTCTTCCTGTAGGTTTCCTTGATTGTGGTATTTATCACAACAACAAAATAACGAATACACTGCTCATGGGGACTTCATAGAGGATCAGGTTGTGGTCAAGGCTGGAGTCCCAACTGCTCATGGGCACTTCATGGAGGATCAGGTTGTGGTCAAGGCTGGAGCCCTGACTGCTCATGGGGACTTCATAGAGGATCAGGTTGTGGTCAAGGCTGGAGCCCTGACTGCTCATGGGGACTTCATAGAGGATCAGGTTGTGGTCAAGGCTGGAGCCCTGACTGCTCATGGGCACTTCATGGAGGATGGTGCATTCAGTAATGAGAACTTGGATAGATTTTGAGATGTCTTTTTCTTAGTGCTCAGTTGGGCTGAGGTTTTTAAAAGGGAAAGCCACAGTGGAACACTCAGGACACTAGAGGAAAAGCCAACAAACCCTTAAACATAACTGAGCAGAAATTAAGCCATGTGGTTAGCAGCAAAAACTCCTAGGTTGAGAAAGCATTCCTTCAATCCCTGGGTATTTTTAATTTGCAGGCACCATTGCCAAGAAGCTCCCAAGGGACATGAGTCACCAAGCTGATGAAGGCGTGGTAGCCAGGAGCCTGACGTTCCTACAGGGGAGCGGCTTAGAAACCCCAGAATCCCTACCACTGTACTGAGCAAAATGTGGTGATTTTATGACTTTCTTTACTTGTGATTATCACAGTTCATGTAACTGCTTTCACAGTGGAGCACGTAGTTCGGAGAAATCTGATCCACGTTCTTTGGCCTTGGTCACTCATATTTGGCTCTGAATAACTGCCTCTCATTCCTTTAGGAACAAGATTTGTGTTTTGTGTTGACAAATAGATGAATGAATCAGTGAAAGAATCCTTCAAAAAGTCACCAGAATGACTGTGAAAATTTCCAAAATCAGTAGTTCACAGTGGGCCGGAGAGCAGTATATACACTGGACAAGGTCATTCTGATTATTTGATGCTAAAACACTTAGTATCAAACTTGACATTTAACAAGTACCCAATAAACAATAGATAAAACCCTTGTGCTAATGAGAGATGAGAAGCTGTAATTCCCCATGTCATTGCAAAATCATTTGGTCCTTTTAATAATTCTGTGGTGGAGATATTATGTGTATGTTAATGTACATTCAGGTGCACATGTATACAGGTGTGTGTGCACGTGTTCACATGCCTGTAGAGACCAGAGGTCAACCTTGGGTGTTTCTCCTCAAGTGCCATTCACCTTGTTATTTTGAGACAGGGCCTCTCCTGGAAACCTGAACAGCCCTGCTTAAGCTAGACTAGACTGGCCAGTCAGCTCGAGGACCCAGTTATCTCTTGTACCACACTGGATCCAGGTAGGACTTGATCCATGTTTAGCACCACAGCATTTACTCTGCTCTCCATTATGCTAATTTCTATCAAAAATGACTGGAATTTGCTTTTAAATCCACTGTTAACTAACTTCTGCTATTGTTCTGTCTGGTCCTTGGAAACACTATGTTTAATTTATGAAGAAAGATTATATATTTACATATTATATATTTACTATAAATAATATTTATCACTTATAATACATGTATTTTACATATATGGTGAATTTTGTTATGATTTTTAAATGTATTCACCTAGAAATAGGAAATAAGTAGCCTTTAATAACATAACTTATTTCAAAGATTTTAACGTGTTCACATAGAAAACAGTATCATACAATTCAAGTTCTAATCCCTGATTTTCAGCTGAGATGTCACAGAATTTACAATGAGTTGCCTTGTAAGAATGCTCCCAAGCTCACTTCTGAGACTCTCTGGGCATCAAGCTTATCATATTTAGATTCAAATTCTGGCTGAGCCATCACTCACCATATACTCTGGTCACTAATCACATGGGGGAATATTGAGTTTTATAGGCAAAATCATATGTTAGCTTTTAAAAACAGACACTTTTCCTACTTACAAGTGGCACATGATATCAATAAATATTTACTCTCCAAATTTAAACACTATGCTGAGACTTACCAAACGTAATCACTTCAGAAAATATACCACAGAATCTAATTTGATTGTGTTCACAAAGATACTGACAACAGGCAACCCTCCTACACTCTGAACTCAAGGCATCTTAGAAACAAAACTTAACACTACAGAATTAATCAAAACTGCACTAGCAAATTATTAATTACTTGAAACAGAAAGATTTAATATACTATTTAGATGCCACACCTGATGAAGTCTGTTCTTTTATTTACATTTTTAAAAAAATATGAGGCTTAAAACATTATATGAGTGTAATAATTCATCTGTAAACCTAGAAATGTGCAGCCAATTTTGAAAGAGATGTACCCTAGCTCAGAAAAATGTTATTGAATAGGTTAATGCTGTTGTAATGAAATGCTTCTTCTAATTAAAAAAAATATGAGGCTTGAATATTTCACAAGTTCCTGCTCTGGGTTAGGGATGCAGCTCAGTTAGTAAAGTGTTTGCAGAAACCCTGGGTTTGATCTCAGCACTACATCGACAAGGTGCTGTGATACATGTCTGAGTTCCTGCACTTTGCAGGTGGTGACAGGTGGATCAAGAGTTCAAGGTCATCCTTAGCTACATAGTGAGTTCTAGGCCAGCCTGAGCTAAATGAGACCCTGTCTCCAAACAAGCAAACAAACTAGTCTTTGCTCCACTGGGATTTGAGAAGTCCTTTGTCACTTGTGAGAGCTATGCCTTCCCTGCACACATTCTGTCTCTGTGGCTCCATTTGGCCATCACACTGCATATTCACCTTGTCCCCAGGGAGTGGGTGGAAGGGAGCAAAGAAAGCTGAGATCCC